CCCACAGCTAAACCTTGAACTGAACTGGAATCCAGTTGCAGAGAAGGACAGATGAGCAAAGGGGTCCATACCAGGCTGATGAAACCCACTGAAACAGCTGACCTGAACAAGGGAGAGCTGTTGGTCCCCAGACTGATACCTGGGAAACCAGCATGGTTCCATGCTGATCCAGACCCCATGAACGTGGGTGTCAGTGAGGAGACCTTGGAAATCTATTGGAGCCCCTTGTAGTGAACCAGTACTTATCCCTAGCATAGGAATGGACTTTGGGAGCCCACCCCACATGGAGGGATACTCCCTGAGCCTAGCACAAGGGGGTTGGCCTCGGCCCTATCCCAATGGATATGACAGACTTTAAGAACCCCTACGGAAGGACTCATCCTCCCTGGGTAGCAGAAAGGGGTATGGGGTAGGTAAGGTATTAGTTGCGGGGGGTAGGGGAGGAGGGGAGGGAGAGGGACCTGGGATTAACATGAAAAATAATCTTCTTTCTAATTAAAATAAAATAAAGAAAAGATAAGCAAAGGAAAAAAAAAAAAAAAAGGTTCACACCACACCCAACCCCTTCGCTAGCTTCCCTCTCCTGCTCCTCCCTAGTTCAACAGTCATTACCTGTGTCTGCAGCCACTGGGATTTCTCTCTCTTCAGGGTGATGCTGTTCCCACACACAAGGCTCTTCCCTGGGTTCTGCCTGAACTGGAGCATCTGGCTTGGACACCGGGCCATCCGAGTCTGTGAGTTGGAGAGAAAGGGAAAGAAGGCTGTATGAAGTTGACCAGTGAATTCAGGTTGAGGTGATACAGCAGGGCTGTCTGTTACCAATGTCCCTCAGCATGGTAGTTATTGTGTAAGGAAGGAACCTTGAAAGCAAGCCAACAGGATCCTGGGCTTCTAATGTAGAAGGAACTGGTTCCCAACAGTCAAGAGTGCACAGCCCATAGTTGACCCCAGGCTGTTAGGATACAACACAAGGAGGTATGAACTTGATATTTTATGATATTTTAGAATAATAGTGGTGTCACATACACTACCACAGTGACAGGCTCAGCTGCCAACCTTTTAATTTTCATCCTACCATAAAAAGTTCTGTGTCCCTTTCCTTTAGACACCTTTACATCTTGAAGCTCTCAACAGAGAGCTCTCACCAATGGAGGGGAGGCATCCTTACCCAGGGACATCAGGGTTTTGTAGTTCTCCTTCACCAGATTGCTGTAGAGCTCCTTCTGCCATTCGTCCAAGTTCTTCCACTCATCCTCAGAGAAGTAGACAGCAATGTCGACGAAGGTCACTGGGACCTGAGCCAACAAGGGTTTAGTCAGCAGCTTGCTGCTGTTCCTCACCCCACTTTCCTGGGGTCACAGGGCCAGCCTATCTCAGAGCTTGGCCTCTGTTCCCAGAACACCAATTTCTGTATCTCAGCTCACATCAACTCATTTCTATGGATTCAGAATTTCCTGTACTGGAAAGCTGGCCTTCCTAGGTAACCAATAGCAATGGTGTCAATGCTGTCCTTTTCCCTTTTCCTTCTTTTTTTTTGTAAACATTTTACTCATTCGCTGTGTATTGTGCATATGAGTGTGGAAGTATCTATGCAATGGCACACACTCGGAGGTCAGAGGACAACTTGTGAAACTGGTTCTCAAATTCTACCAGGATCCAAGTTGCCAGGCTTAGTATCAAGAGCTCTTACCTGCTGAGCCATCTCTTGGCTCTCTCTTTTCTTTTTTTATTAAGCACTTAATCCTGCCCTTTGCTATTTTAGACAACTAGACACTGAAGACAGAGCCATAGTCAGTGTGCTTCTTTGGGAGTTCAGGGTAACAGGGAAATGAGAGATGCCAAGTGGGAATCAGGAAGTCAAGAACTGTAAAATTGGGAGACAAAACCTGCATTTCAGGTCGGATCACCTGTGTGTACACAGTTAAATTTTTTTTCAAGATTTTATTATTTTTATTTTATGTGTATGAGTGTTTTGTCTGCATGAATGTCTGTGTACCTGGGCTTGCAGAGGTCAGAAGAGGGGCTAGATTCTCTAGAACTGGAGTTGCCATGGCTGTGAGCCTCAGTTTAGGTGCTGGGAATCAAACCTGGGCCCTCTAGAAGAACAATTAGTGCTCTTAACCACAGAGCCATTTTTCCAGCACTCTCCCACCCCCCGAAAAGTTTTGTCATAAACATGGACAATCCAAAGGTACACACCTCAGCTCCAGGACCCTGCCCTGTCTTTATGAGGAAGCCCTGCTGTGGCTGTGGCTGCCATTAGTCACTGCCCATTGAGGTATTCTCATATGTTGTATAGAGCTGCTATTTCATTCTGACTAGGAGCCTCGTCCACACTCATTTCAGCCTCCTCCAGCCCCGCCTCACTCTGAACCTGGTTGTTTCATTTCCATTAATTAATTGCTGAACTTCTCTCTCTGACCACACAGGCTCCACCCTGTGCCCTCTTACATCCCTACTGAACCAGCATCGGGCTCTCACTCTGAGATCCAGTGCCTCGAATCTCACCCAGCCCCTAGTCTACATGCCTTCATGTTCAGGGCCAAAGCTGGTCTGTGTGGGACACCGGGTGAATGATAGAGCCAGCAGGGCCAGGTGCAAAGCTACTGGTCCCAGGTCTGTCAGTCCACAAGCCAGGTGCATGAACCTGCAAGGCGACCCTATGCAAGGGTGATATGCACAGCTGTGTTTAGTGGCCAAGTGTCTCCCTATTGACAGCTCCCTGTCCATCATTAGAATTATAACTAGAACTCCTACCAGACTTGGGCAAATTCCCAGTCTGGGAAAAAAATGCAACCCCCTTGTTTTCATTTTATTTCCCTGTTATTAGATGAAACCACAGAATTCTGCAATCAACATCTGCCACAAATTCCCACCAGCTGCCCCACACTGCTTTGGTGACCTCTTATTGATACCTTGCCATGTTCCCCAGGAAGTTTATTGCAAGCCCTGCCTGGTCTCCCTGCATCTTCTCCCACCTGTCTCTGATCCCAGACTGATGTTAGGGAGCTCCTATTTTGCCCTTTTCTTCTTATTAAGTCAAACCTGCCAATTTCATTCTGTATTTCTACTCCACCTACCATCTGCAAAGATTAATCCAAATAATGTTGACTCCTTCACATCTCCAGTTTCTCCCTCTCACTGGCTCTTTCTCCTGGGGGTCATTTCAACCTAAGAAAAACTTCACTCACTCAGACTGGAAGATGGCTTAGTGGGTAAGGTCACTTGCCACCAAGTATGATGACTTGAGTACAATTCCCAACACACACATGGTGGAAGGGAGAGAACTTATTCATGACCCTACACCTGTGTTATGTCACGTGCACACACACACACACACACACAAAAAAAAATAAATAAATAAACAAGTAAATAAATAAAATGTAAAACAAAACACACCCAGCTGGACGTGGTGTCGAACACCTTTAATCACAGCACCCAGGGGGCAGAGGCAGGCAGATCTCTGCTGTCTCAGTTCACTCTGCTCCTGCTCTTGAGATATCCTAAGAAAAGTCTGTTTTTCCGTTTTCAAAATCCATATACATTTTAGCTCCCTAAAATCTAACATCTGTTCTCTAAAAGCAAACCATACCCTGAAAATTCACCAATGATTTGTTGTTAAGATCTTGCTTTGATAGGCCCAGAACACCTTTCTAGAGCTTTGCTTGGCTCCTGTGACCAGTCACGTCACCTATTATTGAGCTGCTCATGCACTCTTTGTTGTTTCTTCTTCATCTCCTGGGATGAAGCTCTGCTATTATTCTTTGCTGTTTCTTCTCCTTTCCCTTGGCATTTCATTGTTTTTATTGCAACTATTACCTCTTTGAGGATAGCTTAAACTTTTCTTGTTCCCTTCAAAGTTCCACAGCCTTCTGAGTCATTCCTTCAATCACCTGTAAGTACTTAACACTAAATATATCCAAGGTATGTTCACCATCTTCTGCAGTACAGTGGCTTCTTCACTTTATTTTATCATTTCCTTGGAGAGTCAAAACTTCAGAACTATACAGTTGGAAATATACATCACTCTTTAAAAGCTCCATGGTGACAGAATACAGAAACCTAAGACACAGTCTGAGACAGAAGGGAGCCTGCAGACTAGCTGCAGACAGGAAAGACTACCCATGAATTAGCTAGGAATCCATTAGTAGATACAACAGGCCTAAGGGATCTGAGAGAATATCCTTCCTAGACCTAACAGATAAACAGAATGCATCTTGAACACCTAAGAACATACAGTGTGACATTAACTGTGGAAAGCAACATTCATGAGCACTCCCAGGCACTCTAGGGTTGTAGTGGTTATAAAATACACATGTGATTTCTTTTATGAATATGTGTTCATGTTTGTATGTACAGGTTCACAAATGTGTATGGGTATGTGTGTATGCCTGGGTATCTACCTCCTTGGAGACAGGTTTTCAGTAGCTTGGGGCTCATCAATTAGGCTAGACTTGCTAGCCATTGAGCCCAAGGAATCCTCTGTGTCCACTTCCCTAACATGTGATTACAAGCACACATCATGCCTGGCTATTTTTCATGGGTTCTGGGGAGCAAACTCAGATCCTTATGTTTTCATGGCAAGCATGTTAATAATTGAGCTGTCTCCCTAGCCCAACAAACATTTTTTCAGTCCCTTCAGGTTGGAAGAGCTTAATTCTCTACCTATTGAATGCAGGCAGGATTTGGTAAGTCACTTCTAGCAAATGAAGTGAAATGGTATAGCATAGAACATACAACACCCATCCTACTATTTCTCTTTGAATTCCTCATTCTAGGAAACAGGGATAGCTTCTTTGTTATAAGTAGGTTCAAACAGTCTTGGGGAGACCCAAACAACCAGGTAAGGGAGTTGTAGTCAACCTTCAAATGACAGCATTACTAGTCAAAAGTCACACTGAAACCTCACAGGACTGACTGAGCAGAACCACCCAAGCTGTTCCTGATTCCTCACTCACAGGAACTATCGGATGATTTATTTTTTAGACTACCATTTTGGGGTCATTTGCTGCCTGTCAACAAATAACTAACAATGATTACATGGTGTTTTCCCATAAATAAAATCAATGACTTTTCATAACTCCAAAAAGCAATTACAATGCCATCTTCGTGTTATAAACAACACTGAAGTTCAAAGGGACCAACTAGAAATAGACATGCTTCACTACTTACACTTCTTTAATGAGAAACTGAAGAGGCTCAGAGACAACAAAAATATACTTGCCCAATAGTAGGAAAGCCAGAAGGTGGCACAGTCAAATGCAAACTCAAGCCTGCTGATTCCAAACAATTCCATTATCATGCAATGGCAGGTGGCAACTTGAGACTCCTACCATTTTATTCAACATATAGAACAAGTGGTAGTAGGTAAGGATCTTGCACAGATTAGGCACACGTACAGACAAAAGCAAAGGGAAGCAGGTGACTAGATGCTGATCATGCTGCTCAGGCAACAAATACAAAAATCACAGTTGATGCAAATCAGTTTCTTACAGCCGAGAGACACAGATGTCTGGCAGCTCTTCTGGTAGTGTCAATAGACTGAGCATCCCATTGGATATAAAGACACACTAAGACATGGTCCCTTCCTAGGAGCTCTGAGCTCTTCAGTCAGAGAATAGGTAAATGTGTTTCACATTCCATCTCTAAGCTGATTGCCACTATAAACACAAGGCACAGTCATGAACCAATAATTTACATTCTGATTAGGGAATGCTAACCGAAAGAAAAAAAAATTCAAGATTCTGGAAGAACTTGGTACTGTTGCTTATTTGCTCATTTGGACAGGATCTTGCTATGAACCCCAGGCTGACTTTGAACTCAATACATAGCCCAGGCTGGCTGTAAACTCAAAATCTTCCTGCTTTCCAAGGCTGGTATTCAGGCATGTGCTACCCCACACAGCTTGGGGGCTTGATTCCTTAGTAGTAAGGTGACCATGGAAGGCACATTGATTAAATAACAGCTAAGCTAACCCCCATGGAAGTGTGGGACTGACTAGAGAAGCAGGCAGGTAACCAGGGAAGAGCTTCCAGGAGAGATGTCCCTGTGGCAGGAGCAGCTCGTGATTCTGGAGAACAGCAGGAGGCCAGACAGCTGACAGGTACTGGGCAGCAAGGAGAGTGGTGAGATGAGGTCAAGAAGATGGCAAACTTGGATGTTTATTGGGAATGAGATGGAAAGCCAGGGCTGATGTGATGGCTCGGTGTGTAGAGGCACCTGCTATTGACCCTGACAACCTGAGTTCCATCCCTGGACCCACGTGGTAGAAGGTCAGAATCAGCCCCAACAGGTTGTCATCTAATCTCCACAGACATGCTGTGGCACATGTCCCTCATCCCCCTAAAAAGTGTAATTAAAAAAATGAAACCAAAGATTGCATGTAAACTACATTTAAAAAAGAAGAAAAAGATGAGAAGCCATTATATGGATTTAGTATGACACTTTTTTTTTTTTTTAAAGACAGGGTCACATATATTCCTGGGGTGGCCTTGAATTTGCTCTGTAGCCTAGGATGGCCTTCAAATTCAGATCCTCCTGCTTCCACCTCCCATTCCAAGCGCTGTGATTACAGGCGTGTGCTACCAGGCCAACGTTTATGAGGTGCTAGGGATCAGTTTGCACATGTTAAGCAAGCATTCTACCAACTTAACTACATCTCCAGCCATGAATGAGGTATTTGAATGGGATCACTATCGCTATTCTTTTAGGAATATATTGTAGTGTGGGACCTAAACAAGGATGGAGAACAGGAGATAGGTCAAGAGATTGAGACCATAAAAAGGAAGATGAGACTGACTTGAAGCAGGTGATGGAACTGGTCAGACTATGGAGGTGTACCAGAGGGGCAACATGAGATCTGAATGACTGAAAGCATGGAACTGTCATTATTAAAGATGAGGGTGACTTTGGACAAAATAGGCTTCAGGCAAAAGACCCATAATTCAGTCTGGTCGTATTAAATCCAGAATGCTGAGTTAACAGGAAGAAATATAAATATATATATTCACATTTCTTCCTGTTAACATATATATATGGTGGGATAGGTGGGAAAGGTGCATCTGGGAGCCACAAGTAGTTAAAACCATGGGTATGGATGAAGTTATGAGCAAACAGGTGCAAATGAGCACAAATGCTAAGACTGAGCCAGGACCACTCCACTAACATTCAGAAGATGAAAAAAGGACACAGAGCCAGCAAAGCAGACTGAGGACTAGTTGCTAGTGAGCTAGAGAGAGCACCAAGGGAGATCAGAATCCTAGAAGCCACATTAAAGGTGTTGCCAGGAAGGAGTAACCACCTGCTATTGGTGATGGCATTAAAAGGATGACGGCAGAGACCAGACTGATGGTCTTATACTGTGGACATAATAAGGACCTTAGAAAACCATAAAAAGTCTGACTGGAGTTGGTTGCAGAGAGAGTTATCTAGTTACCAATTTACTGGAATATTGAGGATAGACTGAGAACCTGTTCAATGAGAGTTCCTCCACTACATAAGGTGCAAGGAAGGATAAGAAATGAAGGAAGAGCCTACATATTTCAAAAAGTCCTAGACCAGCAAGATGGCTTAGCAGTTAAAAATTTATGCCTCATGCCACATGGTGACATACCCCTTTAATCCCAGCACTATGGGAGGCAGAGGCAGGCAGATCTCTGTGAGACCAGCCTGGTCTACAGAGCAAATACTAGGACAGCCAGGGCTACACAGAGAAACCCTGTCTTAAAAAAGCAATAAATAAATAAATAAATAAATAAATAAATAAATAAATGCCTTGCAAGCCTGATGACCTAAGTTCAACCCCAGAACCCATAGTACAAGGAGAGACTCAAGTCCTGAAAACTGTCATCCAACCATGTATGACTCTAAATTTTGATTAAAAAAAAAATGGAGAAAAAGCTGGGCATTGATGGCACAGGCCTTTAATCCCAGCACTTGGGACACATAGGCTCCAAAGCCACACAGAGAAACTCTGTCTCGGAAAAAAAAAAAAAAAAGGAGAAAAAAAAGAATCAATTGAAAATCTGAACATCATGATGGAGGCAGGGAAATGTGGACCTTGTCATACTTTAAAATGAGTCTTTACATTTTAGAGTGAATACTGAAATATTTATGAATAAGATGATGATGATGATGATTAAAGACAGGGTCTCAATTTGTAGCCCTGGCTGCCCTAGAACTCACTATGTAGATGAGACTGATCTCAAACTCACAGAGATTTGCCTGTCTCTGCCTCACAGGGGCTGGGATTAAATGCATGCACCATGATGGCTGGTATGAATAAAACTACTGATGCCTAGAATTAGCTGCAAAATAAAACAAGAGTTGGGAAATGCAGAGGAAAAACAGGATCAGTCAAGAGTGTGATTGTCGAAGCCCATGATGGGCACTCAGAGTTCATTACAATGTCTTGCCTACGTTGGCATGTATTTGAAGACCTGTAATAACCAGATAGGGAAGCATTAGATGTAACAAATACAAGTAACTCTTTCAAGGCATTTTCTTGTACTGATGGTGAGAATGAGAATGAGGTAGAGGGAAGTGTGGGGTCCAAATAGGTACACAGTGTACACATGACGGTGAGGATGACCCAGGAGAGAGGAGACAGCTGGTGATGGAGAGGAAAAGGTGGGGAGCACAGAGTCACAGAGGCGGGTGGGAGCAGAACCCACATGGACCAGGATGGTAGACCAAAGAATGAACTCCTATTTATGCTCCTATTTATGGAAGCCCCCCTTTTGTTTGTTGGCATGTAAGAGAATAATTTGGGGGAGTCAGTTCTCTCCTTCTAATGTCTAGATCCCCTGGATCAAACTTAAATGATCAGGCTGGAGGCAAGGGCCTTTACCAAGGCACGGCCAGCCCTGTTTTGCCTTGTTTTTTAATATATTTATTCTTTTTTTAATGATTTATTTATTTATTATGTATACAACATTCTGCCTCCATATATGCTTACCGCCAGAAGAGGGCACCAGATCTCATTACAGATGGTTGTGAGCCCCCATGTGGTTGCTGGGAATTGAACTCAGGACCTCTGGAAGAACAGTCAGTGCTCTTACCCTCTGAGCCATCTCTCCAGCCCAATATATTTATTCTTAAGTGTGTGTGTGTGTGTGTGTGTGTGTGTGTGTGTGTGTGTGGTGAATGAATGCTGGTAGCTGTGAAGGACTTTGGATCCCCACTGGATC